GAAAGCTCTATTAGATCATATATTCGCAGAAAAACGCACCTCAGAATCAATGTCTAAAGCCCTAGATTTATCCACCATATTATCATCATGCATGTCCTCGCTAACTTCTGTTTGGGTTGCGCCAAACCCTAATTGAAGTTGACTATCAACATCCCCAAGTGCATGAGGCAGCTCTTTGGGACCATCCACAGCACTATTTCTTTGTGGATCCAAGTTGATTGTTGAGGGCACACATTCATTAGCTGGAGGAGGCTCTTCATTAAATTTTTGGAGACCCGGTGCAAATGCAACGTGATCTTGATCAATTAGCGAAATATCTTTCCTAACAAACTCATCACCTGCCAATTTTTGAAAAAATGACCAGTGTTTTGGTTCCTCATTTTGCATGTTTAAACTCATACCAGCTCCATCCTGCTGAACTGGAGAAATATCAGATGAACTATTAGAAAGTATGGCTTTTGCAAATATATCAGATAGGATATTACTAGGGAACCGGTCATTAATATCAATCAAGATATCTCCTTGCTCAGATCTGGGTAACACAACAGATGGTTCCCCTTGAAAAGCACACTCGTTGTATTTTCCCATCCAATCTGAAGATTGAGATTGCTCTTGAGAGTTAGTATATGTGAACTTGCTGCCAGCCTTGTTACCCTGATGAATTTCAAGATGAATGCCCCCCGCATTTTCGTGGTGATTTTCAGCATCTGCATAGGTCAGTGGACTTGGCCTTGATCCACCATCCTCCACCCGCTTGACTAAATAGTTTGTATACTTATTGTCGGCACATACTGTTTGTTGATTAGCTAGGGGAACCTGATCCACATGCACGGCGCTTTTCATATTTGCAGCATTTGGAATAACCTGCTTCAAATTCGCAGGCGCTCCAAGATCATGTGCTGCAGTTTGAGGGCTATAGCTCAATGGCTTTTCAGTAGAAACAAGCTGCTCATTCATGTTTCTATTTTGCATTTTCTCAATGGATTCTTTAAAAATTTCTGGCTGTGCAATATCTGTATGGGAATGAGTTGCAAGAAACTGTGAATTGTGTGAATCGTCCGACTTTGATAACCTGTTAAAGAACTCTATCTTCCCTCTTGGGATGTGCACAGAACAGAAAGCGCTCTGAGGTGGTGAAGCAGGATCAGAGAAGCTTATATCCGTTGAATCAACCTCTAAAGTGACAGACTCAGGAACAAAAGCCTTACTGTACATATCGGGTCCATATTGTTTCACTTGTGTTTGGGAGCCTTGACCTTCAATATCATTTTGGTAGTCCACTACACCCTTGGAGAACCAATGAGTAGCACTTTGAGTAGCTGAGAATTGAGAATTAGAACTATAACCAAATTGGAATTGTTGCTGCTTACTGTCGTCACAATTTTCCATCTGGCCATGATGAAAGCGTAAATCAATGTCATAAGCACTGGGGGGACTTGGTACATTAGGCTGAGCAGATTTAGCAATCAACGATGAGTCATCAAAACCAGCTGAAGGTAAGTTACTCGCACCAACAAAGCCCGTAACAGATCTACCTGAGTCCTCCTCCATGTTATTTCCATCCAACTCAGCTAAGCTATTTGCAGAAGAACCTAGAAAATGCAAAGTTGAGCTACTTCTTGATCCAGTTTCCAAGCCATTGATGGCTACTACATACTGAAACTCAGAATCCGCATCTGAATTTGTTAATCTCAAATGAGCATCATCCAAGTCAGCGATAGAACACAAGAAAATCCTAAGCTTTTTTGAAGTATCTCCATCTTCTAAGACATCACATTCCTCCAACATATTCTGCAAATCCTCGTCACATGACACAGAAACTAAAGCATCAAGATCCTCCCCAGGTAGTTGATATTTAATTATATGAGTTAGATCATATATTACAACAGCTTTCTGCCACAATTCATTCCATGTAATGTCCTTCCTGATGCGGATAACCCGTGTTTCACCACCAACATACCTGAGCTTCCCATCACTAGGCCGAGATAATACCTTACCACCAAAGCTACACATCGCCTTAAGCTTTGCCACTGAATCATCACATGCTCCAGATGAGGTATACACAAGAGAACGGAAACCACAGTAATCTGATGACGTTTGTTGCACTGATTGCACTGACCCATTGTAATTTTTGTCTTCATGTAGGGAAGATTTCTGTTTCTCAAACTCTTTTGGACCTTTTTCAACCATCGCTAGCATGGAAGTGTCGGAACCACCATCAGATCCAGTATGACCGATGCCTAAGATGCCTTTTAGCTCCAAGCAACCTTGTGGAAAACTAGGATCACTAGAAGTACTGGGAGCATAATTTTTCCCGGGATTAACACGATCACGCATGAACTCAAGTACAAACTCTTCTCCTGTTTGTAAAGAGAAATTAAGCACGGGCTTAGCCTCTGAACAATTATCTTTTGGAGCCTTTATATTATGATGTGGATGATCAGGAGGGTCCGATGTAAAAACCGGAGGTCCAGGTTGAATTTCTGCATTTGGATATTCAGCAGAAGTGAACTGAATACAAGTCCCATTGTTTGATTGATCCATTAGACCACAACCTCTATAAACTCAACCTCAATGGTAACCGATATGGATGCCAGTATACTTAGTTATGTCTATAAAGGAGCAGCACGAACCTAAATGCAGTAGAATAAACACTTTGCACAGAACAAGTCTATCCAGAGTTCATCAATACATATGCACTGGAAGCAATCGACAATCGGAGCTACATTACTAGCTACTGACTTGACTTTGCTCTAACAAAATTAGGGTCTCAATTAATTCATGAAAGGCAATTTCTCTTTCAAGCCACAAACGCTCCATCCAAGTACACTTCTTAAACCATTAATGCTGACAAAAAGGGGAAAAAATAGATGTGGAGTTAATAACAGTGCAAGAAACGTAAAAGATATCAAACAAATTATTAACAAACTACAAACTTCCGAAAGTCCAAGAAGAAGTGGACTTTTCTTTCATAGGCTTCTTTGGTCATATTTAACAATAATTCATACAGATACTCCCACTCTTGCTTGAGCTTCAAATCCATAAGTTTTTCTAGTATACTTGCCGAAATAATCCAAGGCTATGACTATGTCATTCAATTCGTGCACATAGCACATGTCCTAATTCAAATTCACATTGCAGTGAAACAATAACGTAGAAGCTCTGAAGAAGACAAAAGTCCTAAAAGAAGTTTCTTGCTCAAAATACCAGATCATCTATCCTCTGTCTTTGTTTTAACTTTAGTACGAAATACATTGCATAAAGTGATATCTGCCCCTCAAAAATGTTGAAAGAACATTGTAAGGGGAAATCCTTTTAGAAAAAGGAACCAAAAGAGATAAGATGGTTACCTGAAAATAAGAGTTTGAGAAGCTTGCAGCACATAAAACCGCCATTTTGACATTTGAATTTGTATACTTACCCACTGACTACATTAGTATTTTCATTTTTTTTTCCCTTTCACTCCCTCTCTATCCATTACTATATTGTTTGCATTTCTTCGGATTTTCACACCAAAAAAATACTAGAATGACGGCTTTGTCTCAAGCCTCTCTCTCCTTTCTTTTTGCCCTCAAACCCCTAAGCTTCTTTTTCTCTTTTGTTGCTCTACTAGGATATGAATTTGAAGTTTTTAATTTTTTTTTTTTTTTAGAAAAAAAAGGAGTATCTGGAAGTTCTCTTTTCTTCTTTGTGTAGTTTATTTCTTTTTGGGACAATTTATTCATACTTGCATAGTCATTTAGTACAATTTCATTTTAAAAAATAGACGAAAAGAACATATCATAAATTTGAAATGTCATGCATTCAATAGCTTAAAAAAGTGAAAGACTGTCAAATATTTTCCAACTAAGTCAGTCAACTTCCATAAATTCCTTTCCAAACTTTAATTCCCCACATAATTACTTTTATTTAGTGTACAGATATACCAAAGTTCTTACTTTTATCTTTTCTAGTTTAAGTTGTTTCATTCACAACTTAATTTTCCTATCACATAAAACTTGCTTTCTTACCAATGTATATCACTTTTGTAATACCTCCTAATTCATTTCCTAATTCAAAGCTATTCTTTTTCAGTTGAAACTGTAATGCTAATCAAAATATATAGGACCAAGGGAGCAGGCTGCTTTACTTGTTTATATATTTATTATATATTTATTGGATGGTGGTATATATATTAATCATGTTACTATGATTGCTTTAGGTCATATACTTGCTAGGAATCTTTTAGTCCTATTATTATGTCATAGAAAATATAGAGAAAAGAGAACTTATCATTTTGTGTGTGTACAATAATAATGGTGGCAGGATAGGAATTTAAATGGGGGCTAAATCCAACATGGTATAGTGTGCAGCTGACTTAAGTTTGAAGAGAGTGTCTATCTTGTGTTGGGTGCAAAGGCATGAGATATAGCGGAAGAAGGGGGGGAAATCCTGCTCTCCCTTTGCCTCAAATCATCAATTATATGGAGTAGTACTCATCAATCATTAATTAGCTCCATTCCCAATCTCCACTTGGATTCATTTTATATTCTTAGATCCACCTTTTGCTCTTCCCCTTCCCCTTCTTTAACAGCTTGTTTGGATGGTTGTTACACATCGGCTTATAATGTATCGTATTGTATTATATTATACTGTATCGTTTGATAAATATAATGTTTGGATAAATTATGTTGTTTCATGATATCACTCACCAACAGTATTAAGAACTTGCAATATTATAAAGAAAAATTATAATGCGGTTTAAATTTATTATATAAAAAGGTTGGGTAAATGATAAAATAAAATTATTTTATAATAATGAAGGGTGAGAGGAGAGAAAAAGACTAGATAACGACGCAACCACACCAAATTAGTCGTTACATAAAGTGACACATTTTGTCGTTATGTAACGAATAAAATTTAAGTAACAATCAAAACAAATATCGTATTTAAAGCAACAATACGATACAATACAATCGGTAACAATCATCCAAACAAGCTGTAAATGCTATTGGGAGTAATTCACGCTTCTTCAAAATAGGCATTATATATGGTGAAAACGTTACATTTTCTCAGCATATTGGTAAAACTTGCGTAAATGAAATTATATTTTACAGTGGTGTAATATGACCCAAATGCATACAAGGAAAATTTACATAACAATATAACAACAATGAAGGATGTACATTGTACTGGTGCTGCATGCAAATACTTATTTCCTTTCTCTATTGTTAAGCAACCCCTTCAACGATTTGGTGAAACAGTATGTAGTTGACTTCACATAATATTGCAACTACCTGCTTCCCTGAAAGTAAAAGCTTCTTCATCAGAATTCAGGGACATTTGGTCACTCAATCTCGAATCACAAATATAACTAACTAATGCCTACTTTTTTAACTCTTCATAACGGCTTAGTGCTTCCTCAAATTTGAGCCACATAGGACCCGTCTCCTGCAAGTTCACATTCTGTGGTCCACCAAGATAAGCCTGGACAACAAACTGGAGACTCCTTTCTCTAGCAATAATACAATCAATCATATAATCTTTCACGTCCCATGGACCGTAATCAGTACCAACAAAAGAAGACTTACCTTCCCTCGTACTCTGACAACCAAGCCAAATAGCCCGCGCCAAAGTACATGGAAACAAATGGCTTTGTAAGATCCTCAACTGACTCCACTCGGTAAGCCTTGTACCCCAAGTCCCTAGATTTCACGTTAATCAGCAATTTTGGTCGCGCATACTACTTACTTAGCATACATCATTGACCTTCTGTACCGTTGCTTTTCTTACTCCAACTGTCAAATTAATTAAGCATTTCTATAGACAACTTTTGCTAATGTACTCCTATTAGAGAAACTTTACCAAAGTGAGCATAGGTTACCAATTTGCTAAAGAATAAAGGAATGGCTAGACCAGACCAAAATGATACAAGAAGGTTTATGTCACATACTTGTAAAGCCAGCGTGCTGTGGGATAGTCAATTCCCATTAATCCAGTACGTTGTCCAATTCCTTCAACAAAACGCATGGTAACTATCTCAGCGATAGCACACAGGACAGTCTGCAATGAAAAGGAAATATCCCCATTATGTTTCCTATTTCTACCAAGTGGCGGAAGAGGGAAAAAGAAGAAAACGACACAAGCATTCGTCCAGCAATCCCTTTTAGATTGTAAACTAATCAATACGAGATACTAAACTCGCCATGTGTGCTGTGAAATTTATAGATGGGTCATGTGTTTGAATCCTGTATCCTCCTTTCTCTATCAACAAGAATTCTTTAGTATCTTAAAGATTATAACATCCAAATATTTCCTGTTTAATTTTTCAAATGTGAGCTTAACCACTCTCTTGACATTCGTAGATATCACTCCATTCTCTGGTTATCCACACAGAGCTTTTACGATAAACAATACAGTCCTATTTGTTAACTTTAGTCACTTCAGTAGCTTCTAGCTTAAAAGAGGTGGACCCCAGGGACCAGACACTTACAGGTTTCAGCCCTCTTGTGATGAAGTGGTTTGATACAATTACTTCCGCAACTGCCTGCAGCAAGATGGTAATTGCAGAATTTCAGATCATAGAAATTTAGAACTTGCAGAAAATTGATCAAACAACTCTAGTAATGACGTAGGTTGAGAAACCTGGTTCTGTCGAAAGTAATAGTATATTTACCTTCAACAGATGTAACAGGCGTAAAAAGTTTCTAGAATGAAAAATACTCAAAATTAGAAGAAAAATTCCTACATGCAGCATCTATAGTTTACTATGAAATACCTCTCCATCTTTCCAGTTTTATCATGAAATAACTAGAAATGATTTTACAGTTTGTCAAGTCTAATTGGTGCAAGCAGTTCTTGCTGAAAAAAACAGCTAAACTTAACAATTGGAGATCAGCAAGGTCAAATGGCATAGTTTCCAGGACAAGAAGCATCCAACATCTATTAATAGGTTCTACAGTTCTATACATACTAACCATGCATTCTTACCCTCAATTCTACCCGGGAAAGATATGGTCTCTTTTCAGTATCATGAGAAAATCGCACATGGCCTCTTTTCTCCCCGGACTTGCTCCACTCCTTGCTCACACTAGGATGATTCCACATTTCTTCCATGTCTTCTGCAGAAGTTCTAGAGTCCCAAGTTGTATTGACTGGACCTGCACAAAATGAAAAAAACATATAAGAGATTGTTATCCGATTGAAAAATATTGAGCCTTTGATTGAAGCTGGACAGACAAAACATGATAGTAACGGTTAGAAAACTTGAGACCCCAAGAGTTACGTGGTCCGGTCATTACGCATACATCCCACAGTCGAGAGGATGAATTTCACTTTAACCAAGATTTATACAGGAGTTTTCACTATAACCAAAATATAAATGGAGATTAAAGATGCCACTTTAATTTACTGAGAAAATAAACTCAAGAGAATATCTCACAAATTAGCTCTACAATGAATTTCATACAAGTTTATCCTAGCACTTCTTTAATATTTCATGATTCCCCCAGTCTATTTAAAAACTCTCTCAACACCTCATATTATGAGAGAACTCTCTTTATCTCTCGTTTACATTTCTTACATTTCCATCCCATGGCTAACAATGAGAAAAAAGGTTGATTTTATCGGGTGATTATCTCATGATTCTTTCACAAATCTCAAATTGTCAACTTGATCAATTTGGTGTGACCGATTGGCGTTGCAAACTAGCTCACTACTACATTGCAATCAAGTTACAAACTAACTTCAAGTTGTAATCGAGTTGCAAATCATCTCACTCCAAGTTCTAAACAAATTATAAACCAACTTTCTCGAACTTGCAACCAAACAACTTAAAAAATGTAAATAGAAAAACTACATAATATTTTCTAACAAATCTCCACCTTGACTTGAATTTTCTAACACAATGGAGTGCTCCGCCTTGAATAACATTAACTAAGCAATTCCAACACTAATCAAGTTTAAGATCTCACCTTCCGTCAATCATAACAAATGACTAAGTATACGGGAGAACTCATCGCAACTCACAAGTGGTTAGGGATATAAGGGAACTTGCCTTGCATCCATCGGAACCACACATATGCTAGAGTATACAAGAGAATTCACATAATAAATGTGAATCATACCTCTATATGAATAAAATGCCTCAGACTTTGGGACCAATTTGTTACACTGTGGAGGATCAACTAATACTTCTGATCGGAACATGATAGTCAAGATGTGATAATACGGTAAGAGAAGTAGAAACACAGAGAGTTACATGGTTCGACTAGTTATACCCACGTCAAAGGGCAAGGAGGAGAAATTTCACCATAATTGAAGTCTGTTTATAGAGAACAGATCTCACTCTAGTTCATCCATAAAATAAACTCAAGAGAATAGCCTAAAAGTTTCACTCTAAAATGAATTTCGCAAAAGTTTATACTAAGACTATTGTAACATTTTTTTCACAATTCTCTCAATCTACTTTTAAGCGCTTTCAACTCCTCATACTGCGAGAGAGTTCTATCCAACTCTCATTTACATTTTGTTCCATTCAGATTTTGTGGCTAAAAATGAGCAAGATATGCCTATTATAGGAAGGACTTTATTAGGATTCCGTGACCAACACCAAATTGCCAACTTGATCAATTTGGTGTGGTAGATTGAAAATCATACCAAGTTGTAAACACACTCATTTCCGAGATTGCAATCACACTGCAACCCAGATTACTCCAAATTGTAATCAAGTTTCAGACCATCTTACTCCAAGTAGCGATCACATTGCAAACCAACTTACTGCAACTTGCAAAACAACTCACAGAACTTGAATAGAAAATTCAAGACATCTTTTTAACTGTGGTAAACATACATTTCATACCAGCTGCAATGTCCAACTGTGGATACCAGCTATTTCTTAATTTCAATGATCAATGGTCTTTCACAAAACATAGACATCCGAGCATAAGAAGTGCTGCATGAAAAACATGCTACCTTTCTTCTCTTTAAGTAAAACATAGACATCCGAGCATAAGAAGTGCTGCATGACAAACATGCTACCTTTCTTCTCTTTAAGTAAAACATAGACATCCGAGCATAAGAAGTGCTGCATGACAAACATGCTACCTTTCTTCTCTTTAAGTCACTATACTAAATACTAATTTTTCACTTCAAGACTTAAGGCACTGAATGAACCGATATAGTGAATGTAATAAAGCCTCGCCCCCTACCCACCACATTTAAGTGATCCTACTACAGATTCTCACACAAATTGTTATATGCATTTTGCACGAAGAAGCCTGAGAGAGAGAGAGAGAGAGAGAGGGAAAGGAGTTGAACTAAATATCTATGCTTTATTAGTTATGCTCACAGTACCTTTCCTTTCCGGAACTCCACCAGCGGATGCTGAAGGGGGTAATGGATTGACTTCAAAGATTTTCCTATAAAAGTGACAGACAGTGTAGCAATTATTAAGAACAAGTATATCAGTCATTTACTTAATAAGTATTAGCAAATGGTAGTATGTATAAATCAGAAGCATCTACTCAGTCCGTATAAATTGTCAAGATAGTCTTCTTGCATACTAACACAATCATACACCTACAGTATTATTTAACCTTCTCATGAATCTCAGGTACATAACAAGAGTATTTCTTCACTTTGTCACTAGTGTTCAGATGACCCTTTTGTGCATGAGGATGATATCCCCTGCTGATTACTATGGTAAAAATGGTAATCATCCTTTGTTAGATCTTACTGAATTGTGATCAATCACGAGAACTGAGGGAAGGTTCATAAAGTCGGAAAATAGAAAATTTAGTTATACACCATAATGTGAGACTGGAAATGGTGTCACAGGCTGCCCCCTTTTCAAAGATTGCATCCTTGTCAAGGATTGACAGCCAATAAAACTCTAGAGATGGAGGCTTGAGATTAAAGAATGCTCCCAAACACATCCTTGCTACTGTAACTCCAAAATTTCAACTAGCACCCTCCCAAATACCAGTTTATCAGAAGCTAGACATGACAAGCAGACTGGTCAGATGAGAGATTGCAGTAATTTTAAGCCTCACTTCCATTTGGCTCCAACTCCACCATAATTGACTTATACAGACTCTGTATCTGAATTGAAGATCTAGTCGCATTGTAGGACTCATCGATGATGCCGTAATATGCCAGGACCTCCATTTGAAAGTATTCACAAGACTTGATACTTGATAGTAACCTTCCTGAGTTAACCCAGATTGCTTTGATGGGTAATGGAAGTTTCGATCAGCCCACTGTCTCAAACTGTGCCTGCACTGGTCTAGTAAGCCCTCATGTTGTTCTAATAGGGAGGATTATGGCCTCTAGTAGACCTCGATTTCTGTTTGGAAGAAAATATGCTCAAAGTGGTACCCAAGTATCACAAGAAACTATACCATTTTCTGCTCGAAAAGGAAGATCCAAGTCTTAAGTTTGTATCATATATAGAGAAGTGTGGACAATACTACATGTGATTGAACTCAAGAAACTTGCTCAGTCTGAAACTTTTCATTGAATAGCATATTCAATCTTTTAGTATAACCACAAGTAATAAAACAAAAGGAGCTAAATAAACAATAAAAATTCCTTCTTCCTATTTTTTTTTTTTTGAAACACGTCTTCAGAAAAAGTATATACTGGACAACTCCCTTTCATAATATAATGCCCACTATGTTAAACCATATAGTACCACAGGAGTGCACTCTCATGCCCTTGATGCCATTTAAACTCAGAAAATGTAGAAATAATTTCAAACAGCAAGGAAATCATGGCATGCAAACAGCTACCTCGATGGTAGATTTTCTTTGACGGAGAGATAGCTTCTCCAAAATGGTAAGGTGGACTTATGGGTTGCCTTCTTAGTACCAGCCTTGTAAGCTCTCACCATGAACTCTTCACTTCTCTCCCTGTTCATAAAGTTCCACAGTTATGTACTTGGTTAGAATATCTTTAGGATTCCTTAGAACTAATACATGTAAGATACATGAAATAGAAAGAAGATACTACAAGAAGAAATGACCATATCAACTTACTTCTCTCCATAATTTGATAACCACTTTAGATATGCAGCACCAAGGTACACATTTACAAAAGGTTTGTAAAGAAGTTTCGAATCTGCTGCCACCTCATATGTTCGGTAACCCAAGTCACTGTAACAAAGTGTAAATTAAGCTTATTTCAACCACACAAAAAAAAAATGAAGCAGACAAGTCCACAGTGTTTGGTATGATGATCTGCATAATTCCCCAAAATCTCAACAAGGAAAAAGGAAATGACTACCTCACCAACCAGTCTGCAGTTTTAGGCAAAATCTGCATAATTCCCATAGTAATCTCTTTTGATTTTTTATTGTACTGTGTTGCAAGAAGCTGCCGGTCACTTTCAAGCTCAGCGATAGCGCAAAGCATATCCTGAAAATATGGGAAGGCCACCTCATTGGAGAACTACAGAGAAGGTGTTGATAATTGCTAAAATCAATTGATTCATCCTTAAAGAGATGCAAATTGCCCCATATATATTCTAAGATGAGAAGACTTCAATTTTGACTAAGCAACCTAGCAATAGTTGCAGGTTGAGACACAGAGATATTCTAGGTGGAGACAAGGCACTTACTTGTATAAGTAGTCCTCACTTAGACTTCATGAAGCTTGCGTAAAGCATGTAAGGTATAAAATAGCATCATAGCATACACCAAAAACTCTAAGTGGATGAGGAGTATTAACATTCTAGTTTAAAGAGAACAAGGTCACCCACAAGATCAAAATTTACATGAGTAAAAGGCTTTAACAGTTGTAGATGAAATTGAGAAAACAAAATACTTTGAATGTTCCGGTTGTTGATAATTAAAAAGGTCTTTAGTAGAAAGACGCTATTAAACGAAGTTTGATGCTATGTTTAGCTGACTGCTATCTGCCATTTATCATGCACAAAAAGAACGGGTCTCGACAATTAATCTCATCCGCATTTATTCATTTATCTAACCCTTTGGAAANAGAACATTTCATTATATTCTGAGTTTGGTCACTAATTCTCTATAACATGTAGTAGTAGACATTCAAGATCTTGGACATCATACCGAATCAATCTGCGATAGGAAATGTCTTCGGACTATAATACCTGCTACTGCCTGTAAAGAAAAATAGAAGGAACAATTCAGAAAATAACTTTTGCAGGTAAACTATTCTGTCAAATGCATAAGCTAAACATAACTTCTGGAAGAGATTCTAAGACATCACTGGTTGAAGAGACTAATGCATAGAGGACATAGTGTTAACGTTATATATCCCGCAAACACAAGTTATGAGAAATTTGTGGAATAGCAATATAGCAATATTTCCCTCTAATAATCTTTTGACCAGCAAATTAAGGAAATTGAGTACAAAATTCATTGACTCGACATGAATACACAAAAAGAAGAATCATATTCTGTGTCAATGATAGTGACTGTCTAAACAGCTCAACCTTCATTTCTGTTTGAGTTAGATAAGGCTGACCATCAGGATCACGTGAGAGGTGGACTTTTGATCCCTTAGTTTCACCAGCATTAAGCCATTCGGCTCTAACATCTGGATCGGCCCACATGGCTTCCAGATCATGAGGATTCACACAATCATCCCAGTATTTGAAGCTAACCGAAGCCATTTTTGAAGTTAATTATCTTCACAGCATCCAACACAAGGAAGAAGCATGAAGATCTGCAAGTAAGAATGCAAAATACTGGCTAATCATTTGAGGAAGCTGCAAATAACTAAGTGTTTCTGGAAAAACAACCGAAAAATCATGACATACATTTAACAAAAGTCTATAATGCAATGAGTGAAGAATGTAATTAGATGATTGAATGTACGCGTGGAAACAATGAATGGGATTGTTTCTTTCTTTTGCCAAAGTCATCTTTTGGTTACAAATCTTAATGATATGTCTAAGATTATGGCGATTAGATGTAAGATAAAATACAAGGCTTTTTCCAATTCAAGAGTTTGGGTATCGACAAAGGTAACCAGCAATCATCTCGGGTTCGTCAGTAGTATGCCCGGTTTATGAGGTTCTACCATTGCAGGGCCCAGTTGCCATTCTCCCATTACTCAAGTCGTCCAAGGGACAGGACCCTAAAAAGTTTTCTTTTTATACAACTCATGATATCTTTCTTCCCTAAGAATGGAGAAACTCCTAGCAGGGAGCGGGGCCCTTAAATGGGGCCCTACGGGCATGAATCTGGATTGATACTTTCGAATACCATAAGGTTATACCAAAAAACAAAAAACAAAAAGCAGCAATCACCAAATAATTAATTGGGCAATCCATCTAAAGATATTTAAAGTTGATAAATGCCTTTTTGGAATCGGGAAAGAAAAGAAAATGGAAGGGAGATTAATAGAGAAAATAAAGAGGACGCATGAGAAAAGAGAATAAATCAAGGAAATGCATGAATGAAATAAGGCAGATTGAAAATACCAGAGGTTGTTGTTGATTGAGATGCAAACATAGAGAGAAACGGAGGAGGAAGAGGGAGGAGAGCCTCCTTGTCTCCAAATACACAAGGAAAATAGGGTGGGGTGAAGATTAAATTTGAATATGCTCCCCCCTTTTGCTTTTCCTCAAAGAAATGAAAGAGAGGTCGTTAATTTGTTAGTTGGACTCTCAGTCTGAGATTGCAGTTGCTTTGATGTGACACGTACTACACACGGTCCCACCATTTTCTTTCTGGTTCGCCGTGCGTTTTTATATATTTTCTTTTCTTTTAATTTCTGGTACTATCTTTAACACCGTGTTGCCCTTCAGTGAAACCCAGGGTACTTTGGTATCAAGTATAAGAAGGTATACTGTTGGTATAAAAATTTAACATCACCTTAATACTTCGTTTGGTTAGCAAACCAGGTATAAGTTATCTCGGGATTAAAATTAACACCGGGATAACTTATACCTTCTTCTTAGAAATTATGCAATTGTCAGTTTTAATATAACATACCAAATAGTGGATAAAAAATAATCTCAGCATAACTAATCACACCATAACTTATCCCAACATAACTTATCCCGACATAAGCCATATTCAAACCAACCGACCCCATAGTGTGTTTACTCTAAAAATGGATAACAATTGAATTTATATTGTGATTTTAAGTACACGTGATTTTACTTGGCACAAACTAAGAAAAAACGCAAAGTGATATTGAAATTAACTGCAAATAAAGATAAAGCAAACCAAAGAAAATGTATAGCTTGATCCTCGAGCTAGGTCGCATTCGAATCAAACAAGTATTTCACCGAAAAATATGAACAGAGTAATAGAGTATTGAGAGTATAAGAAAAAGATAGTATATTACTTTATGTAGCGTGAATATGATGTGTTATACAAATGATCAGCTCCCTTTCATATTGTAGGGGAGTCCTACCCTTAGTATCATTCTAAATACGGTAAGAAATCTCATGATTAGCTGATAAATCGACCTCGCCTTGATATGTGCTGAGATTTCCGTCGTCATCCTTGCCCAATTGCGGATATTTTGGATTTTCGCTATTCGGCTCGGCAAGCTTCCTTCGATCTTGTTCGATCTCTTTCCCGCTCGTTCTCGGTCTTGGCTAATCTCGATCTCGATCGGTCCTTGAGTCACGAGCTTGGCAATCTAACTTCGTGTCATGGTCTGGTACGACATGGGTCGAACCTTGGCCTGCCACGCCCCCAGTCTCAATTAATCATACAGAAAGTGCAAGCCCGATTTGACCGTATACAGATAGTCCCCTCGTTTTTTGGAGAGTAATGACAAGAAACGATTTGAGCCCTCAATCTTCACCTCGATACATCATGACGTAAGCAACTGAGGTAGCCTAAACGTCTTGTCGGTACAGTTTCCCAGGCATTTAATGCGCATCTTTCGACGGTCGGCTATTACCGGCTTTGAACCGTCATTGAGACATTATAAATACCCTACTTCTTCATTTTCAAACTTTACTTTCAAATCTTCTTCACTCTAATTTTCACAATCCTTTGCCTTCCTCAGAACTTTGTATTTTCATATCTCTGTGTTTCTTCGCTTGTTCTATCCCAAAATACCAAGTATTCCTTTTCAATTTCTGTTCTTTTTCATCCATAAAAATTAAATGGCTACACTTCAAAAATCGTTCCACAAAAGGAGACTGCTTCATCGTCATGGCCGGCCGGTGAGGAACCGACGACGGAGCCACGCCCTGAAGAGTTTTTTTCCGGAGGGTGTGTCATCAATTCTGATTTCAAGATTGAAAAGACTTCCTCGATATCGGGCTGACGCGAACCGATATCGAGATATATCTGTTCGGTCCCCAATAGCCTCCTCTCCCAGGCAAAGAAGGATTACAACTGGGATAATAAAAATGTGGTGGTTTATGCTCCTGAGGAATCAATCACTACCCACGTGAAGGGTTTCTTAAGTGTTTACACTTATCCCTTCACGTTGGGTCCCTTGGATCCGATAATTATAGATTTCAGCAAGAAGTACGAAGTGACCTTCGGTCAGATCTACCCTTCTTTCTGAAGGATAGTGATATTACTTTGTCAATGCAAAATCGAGGGGTGTCCTTTTTACCCTCGATCATCTTATATGCTTGTATAGTCCCTGACTATATCGAGGAGGACTAATAAAGCTTCAACGGCGGGCACCAGGGCACCTTTCTCGAGCATAGATAAGGATAAAGACCCTGGCTAGATAGGTCAGTTTGTTCGAGTGAGGACCTTAGACCTGATCTTGGCTGAGAGTATGTCATTTCCTGAGAAATGGAATACGAAACGTAAGTATAGTTCCTTGTTCCCCAACTCGAGGATTGGGTCAGGGGCCTTGTATCGCAGCAAACACATGTTGAGCGCACATGGCGTGATTTGGCAAATGGTCGATGGGAGGCTAGTAGTTATGGTAAATTTTTCTTTCTAACTCAATGATTTGACCATTGTTTGAATTTCTTCCCGAGCTTACTCATCTTTCTTCTTTTGTAGGTCTTGGGAAAGACGTGGCAATGAGGCCCCTATCTGGTGATGAAGAAATCCTCCCCTCACCATCTGTTTTGAAGCCAGTGCGGGAGAAGAAGAGGAAAAGGGCTTCGAATTCCACGAATTCTGAGGTATAGAAGCCCAAAAGAAAACAACCCTTAAACCCAAGGAGAACATCATCCCTCTATCTTTGGAGTCAGTCCAACGGCTAAGGGATGAGTCCGAAGAAGAAGAAGAAGAAGAAGACTCCGGGCTGGTGGCCCATGTGCGAGCTCGCATCGAGATTCGAGGAACTTCTGAGCCGGTAGAATCTGAAACTGCTCTGCATAGAATTGATAAGAATGAGGGGAATGCCTTGGCCGAAGTCCCCGAGCCAGAGAGAGCTGAAGCCATTTCGCCTCAAGGTGAGAAGGCTATCGAGAAGGCGGTTGATGTTGGTGTAGAAACCATGCTCGAGGCTCCCCGAGATGAAGGCGGTACCCTAAAAGATTTACCTGGGTGATAGAAATCGGAGATTCCCTCTCATTTCCTACATTTACTGAGTCGATGATTAAGGATGCTCATGCGGCAGAGACATGATGAAGGGGTCCATAGTACAGAAGACCCTTTCCGTGGCTATTTTGTCAGAGTGGAAGATGTCACTAGTTTGGGTGACTTGGAGATACCAAAGAATAGCTCGAGTGAGGCTTCCTCGAGCCTTAAATTGACCAATCAGTTCCGATCCCCCAATATCGACCCCAGGCGTAAACGGTCAATTATCATTTCGGTCCTGGAGGATGCTCGGTGGCTAGCTATCGCCGATGCTTGGTGACCGAAGAAGACCAAGATAAGACGAATGACGTGGAAACACCATGTCTTTTCAACGAAGCCCAACAAGTTCTAAACCAGGTAATCCCAGATTTTGTTGATGTCAATTTTTATACTTATACTCTTCTCCTTTATATAACTCTTTTTTCTGTATTTGGTGGCTTCGGTGCTTCATCATGAGGTTTTCCTCCGATCTCACAGGGAGATGAGCCATTATGAGGCCGAGATCCGAGGTCTCACTGAGAAGAAGGATGCCTTCAAAATTCTTAGTGAGCAAAGGGAAAGAGAAGTTAAAGGTCTCTAGGATGAGCTGGAAGTGGCTCAAAAAGAACATGCCGACCTGGCCGAGCAGGTAAGAAGAATTTTGAAGTTAATGCTGGTGAATCGGTTATGGTGACTGATGGTACGAACCCGCAGGTCCAACAAAAGCTCGACATTACGGGAAGCTTCATGAAGAAGTGAGCGCAGTAAAAGCAAAGGCCGAAGAATGAAAAAAGAACATGGATCGTCTGGCCTTCGAAAAGGAGATTGCTCAGGCCTAGCTGGCCTCATCTGAAATCCAACTCTGAATCATAAAAGAGAAAACCTTTGTGCAAGCCAAGATAATCGAAGAGCTCAAGTCCCAGCTGTGTTCAGCAGTTTCCGAGCAGGAGAACCTGGCCACGGAGCTCAAAACAACCAAATCGGATGTCGAAGCGACTAAGGCCAATGTTGATGCAGTGGTGGTTATCTATCAGGCTGATACTGAAGCTGCTCAGGTCCGAGCAAAGGAGGTGGCCGAGGCTGCTCAGATTCGAGCAGAGAGGGTTGCCGAGCATGGCAAATGTCAATCTCGAAGGGAGACCCTCGAGGAACTGCTTGGTATCAGAGCGAGGTTCAAGACAGGTTCATCTTGGCGGGTTTAGTTCTAGCCGCAACATATTTGACGATAATCATGATTTTTGTCCGAGAAATTTGACCGGTGTGCTACGCACGTTGAGACAAACTTTGTGGTGGAGATTTGGAGATGCAACCTGTTGAAGGCTATGTGAAGAAGGTGGATCAAGTTTATTTTGTCAGAAAATTCCGGCCAAGGGGAAAAATTGTTAGGTGTTTGCCATAATTTTCTTACCATATTTGATTTTCCTATTTGTTGAAGGAAAGGGCAATATAATTACCTTAATTGGGTTTTCCTTTTTGTAGAAGGAAATTATAATTCTCCTATACTTGGCTAGTCCTTTTTCTTGTAGGAAAAGGTTTGGAATTCTATAAACTAAAGATCCGTCCTTCTCATTCAGTAGCATCTATAATGTAACCATAGGGGGCTTGAGAGTCGTGTTTAGGGTTAGAACTTTACGGGACAAGTGTTAGTGTGTCACTTGTGTTTGCCTCTTCGTGAGGTTTTTCTCTCGATATTTTGTACTCTCTTTTTATTATAGTGGATTGCTCATCTTCGCGGTGGACGTAGGTCAGTTGAGCGAACCACATTAAATGTTTGTGTCTCTTTTGGTATATTTCTCCTTTGTTGTCTGATTTATCGTCGTTCAAGATTTGTTTAGATAGCTTCCGCATGACACCTGGTATTTTCGGTCCTAACACTCTTAGCTCTATCTCAATTTCTCAATCAATCGTGTTCATCTATGAATATAGTTGGAACAAAAAAGAAGATAATTTAATTCTATTTACTATTGGTGATAATATGACGCAAAAATACGAGAGAAGATTGAAATTTCTCTTACTCAAAAATAGCACTTGCAGTGGAAATGTTAGAACTGCAGACGGTAGCCTAGAGCAGTAAAGCTTTTAACTTTTAAATAAATAGCAGCGATGATGCATAATGAGACACAATCTTCAGCTC